TTTTCCGTCGAGGCGAGCGGGCCACGACGACGCCCACGCCGCCGGCGCGGGGGAGGAGGGCGGGGGGAAGCGGCGATTTTCCCTCCCGCGGGTGTGGAGCCTGGGGGAGCAGCAGAAGCTCGCACAGTTGACCTGCGCGATGGCGTGGCTGCGGCGCCGCCGCCTCTTCGCCGTCCTCCGCCGGCGTTATTTCCAGTTCAACGCCGTCTTCGCCGCGCAGCTCCGGCTGTACCTCGCGGCGATCGCGCGCCAGCAGTGGACGACGGCCTGGTACCGCCTGCGCTTTCGCCGCGAGGAGGGATTATGGCGAGGCGAAGGAGGCGGCGGAGGCGGAGGAGGGGGGGCCGGCGGCGGCGGAAGTGGGGCCGGCGGGCCCTCCGCCTCCGCGCGGGCCGCCGGGCGGGGAAATCCCGGGCCCGGGGATAGTTTTAGCAGCGGAAAGGCGGGAGCCCCGGCCCCGGCGGAGCCCTCCGGGGGGGATGTGGTCTCGCGCAAGCTCGCGGAGTCTTGTGTGAGCGCGGCGATGCTGTTCAACCGCGCGATGCGCCCCGCCCACGCCGTCCGGGCGATTCTCCTGGCGGTCGAGGACCTCCAGCTCCACGTCTGCCGGGGCTTCCCCGACGCCTCGAGTTTTCTCTCCGCGAAGACGAAGCCGGCCTCGAAGGATCGCGAACGCGCGCGGACCCCGCGATCCCCGCTTTCGACCCGCCACGACGTCTCGGACGGCGGGTACGGCACCGAGGCCGAGGACGACTTCTCCTCCGGCGATGAAAACGAGTGGCTGGAGACGGGCTGCGTTCAGCCCGGGGTGGTGGAGAAACTCGACGGCTTCGGCCCGCACCTGCGGCGGCTCTCCGAGGAGCTGCTTTCCGCCCTCCGGACGGTGCGCCAGGGCCGTCTGGACCACCGCAAAGACGTCGAGGCGCTGCTCCCGGCGGCGATCCCGGGCCTGGTGGACGCCGCGGGGCGGTATTTCTACGAGACCAGCCCGTCCTTGTTTGTCTTCGCCGGGGCGGCGGGGCAGTCCGGCGAGCGCCGGCAGCTCGCGCGGGCCAACCTCGACCTCGCGCGCACGGAGCGGCACCTGCAGTATTGGCTGCAGCGCTGCGTGTTGGACGAGGAGGCCGCGCGGCGGGCCACCGCGGCGGCCGAGTCCGACGCCTTCCGCCAGGACGCCCGCCGCGTGCTCGATTCGATGCGCAGCGCGAGCGAGGGCCGGAAGGAGTCCGTCGTGGG